TAAAAATAAAAGAATGCACATTTGAACAGTATCACCACCACACATTGCTCATTGCTGACACCCTACCCTCTTTCCCATAACCCCCCCATCCCTGTTAGAAGTCCGAGCTGGAGTTCTGTAGCCCATGCGCTGTGGAGGCTCAGGCCTCTCCGGAAGGAGGCTCCTGAAAGGCCTGAGTTAGGTGTTAAATCCATGCCAGGCTTCGCACAACCCTGTCTTATTGGAGAAGTCAGTTACATTTATTCTTTTTTTCTTGTTGAGTTTTAATTAAATGAGCTAACACTTTGTCATCTGTCTCAGGCAGCCAAGGCTGGGGCCAGAATCCTGCTTGGTCAAGGTGGTTCATTTCTCCCATTTTTCCCTGGACACATATTTATTCTAAAAATCTTAATTGTATTCTTCTTCTTCTTCTTTTTTTTTTTTTTTGGCGGAACCGGGGATTGAACTCAGGTCTGAACTCAGGTCCTTGCGCTTGCCAGGGAAGTGCTTATTCCACTGAGACAGCTCCCCGGCCCCTTAATTGTATTGTTTTAAAAAAATTTTTTAAATCATTTGTTTAATGGTGCAAGGTCTCGCTACACAGGTTGGGCTCATAGTGATCCTCCTGTCTCAGCCTCCCTAGGGTTGGGATTACAAGCGCGCACTACCATACCTGGGGTGCTAGCGCCCAGCCAGCATGGATTGAACCTAGGTCCTTGCACTTGCCAGGCAGGTGCTTAGACTGCTGAGCTATCTCCCCAGCCCTTAGTTGTATTCAGAATTTTACAAAATTATTTTAATGTTCAAATGGAAAAATGTAACTAAGAAAACTGTAACAAGTGGGCTGGCCAGAAGGCTCAGTTGATTAAAGTGCCTGCTTAGGCAGATGTAGGGACCAGGATTCAATCCCTGGCGTGCTGTACCGACACCCCCACCCCACCCAGGGCAGCTGAGACTGGGTGTAGGGTACTAACCTGTAATCCCAACGCTTAGGAGACTAAAAACACGAGGATCACAATGAGTTTGATCTGTGTAGTGAGACCCTGTAGACCTTGTACTAAGTATTAAAGACAAACAGACAAAGAACTGTGAGATGAAGAGACTGGCCAGACTTTAGAGTAGATTCCTGCAAAGCTGCAGTGAAAACAGCAGTTTGCTGCTAGCTGGAAACGAGCCCAGTGGAGACTCCAGTGCGGCCAGGATTTCAGGTCCCGGGAGAAGCTTGGTTGCTCAGCACAGAAGCGCACTGACCAGCGCTGGGGTAGGGTGCTGGCGAACTGGGTCCCTGCTGATTACGTAAAGCTACTAAAATAAACACTAAATACACTAATAGAGCAGGGCGAGGTGGCACACCCCTGTAATCCCAGTACTCAATTGTTGAGCTTGAGGCCAGCCTGAGCTACACAGCAAGACCCTGTCTTAAAAAAGACAAATAAATTAGTGAGTAACAAAGATTAGAAAACATGTACAAAGTGGGTATAGTGACACATACCTGTAATCCCAGCACCTGTAATCCTAGCTAAGCAGGAAGATTATTGTAAGTTCAAGGCCAGCCTGAGCCATATGGCTATATAGTGAGGCCTTGTCTCAGAACACAGGCATGTGCACACACACACACACACACACACACACACACACAAATCCAGGTGGAGGAAATATACCTGACTTCACTGTATAATTTTCAGATGAAGTAGGCATTTCTGAGCATGATAGTAGTACTTTTTTTTTAAAAAAAGAATACAAAATAGTAATAAACAGCATTAGAAAAGATAGAAAATTTCACTAAACAAAGTAATAGGAATTCAGCAGTGATTGCTGTGTGGTATGAGGTTATCAAGTTAGTTGTTTAGGTTACCATATATAAATATACAAAATTTTTTTTTTAGAGTTATAAGAAATTAACAATAAGAAAAAGAATAACCAGTACTTTTATGTTATTTCTTCTACCGTAAATTCCTGCTGTTGGGTTAGGGCTGGGCTTAGCCGAGCTGCAGGAACCAGACCGTTCAGATGAAAACCGAGGGGTGAGAGAGGCCAGCAGGCGGCCGTAGTGCTCGTGGCCAGGAGTGGCCCTCATGGCGGGGCAGAGGCGGAGTGCACGTGCCAAAACGCAGGCAAGGGACCTGTGTGGGCAGGCTGCCCGGCTCGCAGGCTGTGGCATCGCTTGGAAGGAGGGGAGAGGCGAGAGACAACACCGGCAGCACTCCTCCTGCACCTCCTGCCCCGCCCTCTGGTGGGTCCCCTTCACTGGACCCGGAGGGCAAGAGAGACGCCCACCCAGGCCAGGGGCACAGAGGATGGAGGTAGGGGAAGCAGATAGAAAATGGCAAATCACAGCACAGGGGCAAAGGGATGTGATTTTATTTCAGGTACCTTTAATTGATGGTAATACATGATTTGAGTAGTTACAGTCGATTTGCCTATCAGAAATGTTGTAACCATTTCTTACTCTCCCCTGGCAGACCAAGAGAGATCCATCTTCCTATAATCTACCAGTTTGGGGTTTTACTGGCCTTCCTGATCTCCTTAGGCCAAGGGAGCCAGTGGTTTTAGCCCCACCTCTGTGGCATTAGCTACCCTATGAGGTTACGGCATTCGTCTCCTTTCCTTACCCGTTCCTGCCTTCCAGCATAACCCCCGAGGGCAAGGAGGTGGCCGCCTCGCAGGGCCTGGCGCAATGCCCAGTACACGGTCTGTGGTCAAATAAGTGGTGTGTCTCCCAGGCTCCACCACCATCCCTCCAGGGTCGCCTGCCTTCTGACTCACGTAGCGTGCTTACTCCTTTTCTCCAGCTTCCCTACTTCATGAATGAGCTGACCCTGACGGAGCTTGACATGGGAGTGGCTGTGCCAAAAATCCTCCAGGCCTTCAAGCCTCGTGTGGATCACCAAGGTAATCCTTCAGGGACTGGAGTAGGGCTACCTGCTTATGTGGCTGTTCAGATATTCCCATTGTCCATAGCTGTGAATTCATACCAAGATTTTGTGGTTAGAAGGAATTGGGAAATTTTTAGCCACGCTTTTTTTTTTTTTTTTTTTGTGATACTGGGAATTAAACTCTGGTTGGGTTTGCCAGGCAGGTGCTTAAGCTGCTGAACTAAACCCTGTGCCTTTGCACTGAGCTGCATACTCAAAACCTTTTTTTCTAACTTTATATTTTGAGAAAGTCTTGCTAAGTCACCAAATTGTCCAGGTTGGGCTCAAGCTAGCACTGTCCTCCTGGGATTACAGGCATGTGCCACTACACCTGACTCAGTGTGCTTTGTTCGTTCTTTCTTTCTTTTTTGTCTTTTTTTGAAACAGGACTATGTAATTCAGGCTGGCCCTGAGCTCACTTGGGTGAGCCTAGGTTGCCCTTGGACTCCTAGCAATCTTCCTGCCTCAGCCTCCTGAGCACTGGTATTACGGGCATATGCCACCACACCAGGCTGCCTCCTCTTGTAGGAGGAAAAAGTCTTTAGAACGTGGAGAGACTTTAACTAGAGTTTAGAACTATCAGGCTGATGTAATGATTTACATATCTGTAGTGTCACACTGGATCAAAAGGTCCTTGACTGGGAAAAATTACAATATAGGAGTCTATTTATTTTTTGGCGGAACTGGGGATTGAACTCAGGCCCTTGTGCTTGCCAGGCAAGCGCTTATTCCACTGAGCCATCTCCCCGTGCCCCTTTTTTGGGGGGGAGTTTATGTAAAAAACCAAACAGGAGCTGAGCATGGCAGCACATGGCTGTAATCCTAGCTGCTTGGATAAGTCAAGCGTATCAAAAGCTCAAGGCCAGCCTGAACAATTTAGACTCTGTCTCAGATTTTTTATTTATATGTATTTAGTACAGGGTCTACAGGGTCTCACTATCTGACTGGCCCTGTTTTTTGTTTTTTTTTTTTTTAATTTTTTTAATTTTTTTTTAATTTGATGGAACTGGGGATTGAACTCAGGCCCCTGCGCTTGCCAGTGAAGCGCTTATTCCACTGAGCCATCTCCCCGGCCCTCTGTCTCAGATTTTTTAAAAAATGTATTTTTTTTAAGGATTGGAAATATGGCTCAGTGGTAGAGTACACTGGGTTTGATTCCCAGTACTGAGGAGGAAAACGCGAAGATTCAGTAGTCAGCCAGGTAGTGCAGGTGACCCGTGGCCGCCAGGGGCTGTGGGCGTGTCCCCGAGGGTGTCCTCCTGTGGCCTTTCTTCCCACTTAGTCACGTTTGCATTATTCTTACAGTGGCCCACGAATGAGGTGGGGGGGAAAAGGAATCACGGTCTTCTAAAGAGTAATATTTGTTTTGAAGTAAATGTTTTGGATATTTTGAAAGCTACAGAGACAGCTTTTCTCTCTGTACGGTTGTGTCGCGTGGCTCGTGGGTGGTGAAGTTGTTTTCCTGCTGTTGTGTATGCTTGATGTAACTAACCATGAGGAGACCTTTCCCGCACTGCGGTTAGCGACGCTGCGGATCCCTAGCAGTGTTTCGGCAGACAGGAGCCCTGTGTCCGTGCTCTTAGCATCCCACTTACTTCAGAGAAAGGCAGACTGGCCGCCGGCAGGTCCAGGGCTCCGCCTGATGCTGCGTATGGAGAACTTGCCTGTGACCGCCGTGCACACGCCTGGTGAAGCGGCGTGCGTGGGTCTGGCCCCTGCTGGCTCACTAGGGAAGTTCTAGACTCTTTGCAGATGGCTTAGCTCGTGCTGCTTTGAGCCATTGACATGTTTGAAAGGTGCGTGGTGCGTGTGTTCACTGCGGAGCTGCCACCTTCGCCCTGTCAGTGTACGAGAGCTGCCCTCCTTCCTCCCATTCTGGCAGCTTTTGTTACCTTTGCTCTTTGCCTTCTCAGGAACTGACTGATAACCAGCTGGTAAGCGATCAGCTAATGCAAGCCTCCCAAGAGTCTGGCTTACAGAAAGTAAATAATGAGTGGCGGGTTCTGTTTTCTAATGAGCTAGCAGACTTTTGTCTCATGCCTGTCCTGTGCCAATATAAATTTCCAAGGAGGGGGTGTGGGGCCGCAGCAGGCCACGCAACATCTGCGCAGCGTCCCTGTGGCTCCGAACTCTTCAGATCCGTGGGCCAGCTTTGGTCAGGCCTTCGGGGTAAGCAGGACGGGTCCCAGGCTCTTTTCCCGTGCCTCTGCAGCAGGAGCTCTGAGCTGTTTCACTACAGAGATCAAAGCTTTGCTGGGTTTTAATCCATTTGAGGCACACTCAGCTCCTTTCAGGGAAAGCTTAAGCGACGCTTGCCTCTGCAACAAGATATTGCCAAAGAAAGGCATGTTGCCAGGTGGTGGGACACATGCCTGTGATTCCACCGGTCAGGAGGCTGAGGCAGGAGGGTCACCAAGAGTTCAGGCCCAGCCTGAATTACATAGTGAAACCCTGACTTAAAAAAATGCTGTGGGGCTAAGTTTGATCAAATTAGTTTTTTTTGGTTGTTGTTGTTGTTTTTTCCAATTCTCCAAAAGATTTCATATATGGTAGCAAAACAAATTAACATAAAGGAAATATGTACCCCTTGATGATGGGGGTACCTTCTGAGAACTGTCTCTGGTTGATTTCATTAGTTGGTATCATAGTGTGGACACTATAGACTGTAGCTAAGCAGAGATGACTAAGTGATAAAATTTTAACAAGTCCAAGGAGAGACGCCTCCTGTGGGGGACTCCCATCCCACCCACTTTGGCGAAGTGAGAAAAACGTGTCCTAACTGTGCATGTGTACTGGAGGGATGTCCAGGCCAAAGCCGGCGTGCCCACTACGCCCTGGGGGGCAGCACTGGATGCAGCTGCGAGCCCAGTGAGGCTGCCACCTCCCTGCTGTGAGCCCCAGGGCACGCTCAGAGCCTCATTTCCTCGTCTCTCCAGTGGGGACCCTAGCAGCACCCACCTCCAGCCTGTGCAATTGCATGAATGAGTACTAAATGGGTCTTAAAGCAGCACCAGTGCAAGGAAGCACTTGGTGAGCCCTGGCTGTTTACTGTCACTGTGGTTGCCATCAGTGGTATGCTGCGAGGTGTGGGGTGTGGTGGCATGGTGACCAGCTGACCCTCTGATCCGCAGAGCCAGCAGGTCTTGCCAGATAAGGAGAAAGAATGCTGCTCTCAGCCTCACGGCCTTGCTGCTAAGAGCATGGTCCATGGTTCCTCTCCTGATGCACTCCCTGGCCTGGAGCAGGGACAGGCGCGTGGCTCTTGGTCCCTGACCTCACTTCCCACCAATGACAGGTAGGGGTGATGGCCACACTGTTGCCTGAGGGGCTCACTGCACCCCGCCTCAGCTGCGGCCTTTCCCTGCTCTCCCCATGGGGTACACCTGTGCTGCCCTTCCTCCCGGGTCCGGCCTCCCTGTCTCCTGTGCCCCTGCCCACTGCCCACCTCTCTCCCCTGGTGAGGCTTTCTCCAGGCATCCTACTAAGCATCATAGTAATGGTTGCTTACATCATCGGCCAATAACCATGTGAGGAAACTTAAACACCCCAAAAAGGTAACAAGGAATGCGTAGCCACTGTGGCCACAAACATTTTTTAGTACATGTTTTGGTATATTCTCCCCTAATCTTTTTTCTAAACATTTTATTATTTTATTTTATTTTATTTGTGTGTGTGTGTGTGTGTGTGTGTGTGTGTGTGTGTGTGTG